CACAATACTAATAAATGAATTATTAGATTTATTCTTGTATATAACTAATATAAGGGCATAGGTGACACTCCAAAGAACATAAAAAATCTTTTAAGGAAATGTAAGTGCTGTTTAAATTTTTTTCTACTTTGAAACGTTGTACGTCTTTGACCCAAATATTTAAACAAACACTCGGGCAACAGTGACAAGAAGAAGAAAAACATTCCTCTCAGCAGAGGCCCATCTGCTTGTCACCAGCCCTAACAGGAAGAAAATTAATGAAAATTACAGTGCATCAAATTTGAAAATTGTTCACCAAAGTGCTGATGCTGCTTCTGATGAGCATGAAGGTCGGCTTTCCAGGAAGGTCAAATTTCTGCCATGCTTTCTGGAAGCACTCCAGCAAGTCTCCGAATGGGCCACCGTTGGTGTTAGCAAAGACGAGCTCTGCGTTTCCACATGGGTATTTATGCCGATGGTACACAAATCGATAGAACCACAGGTACTCATCTTTGTTCAGTGGAACAAGGGCATACCCAAACGCCTCCTTAGTCTTGTGCTCTTTGACCTGCAAAAGAAAACAACAAATAAGATAAAATAGTAATTAATTAATTTAGAATATAATTTGTCTCAAAATGCATCACAGAGCCAGAAACACAGTAGAGCAAGCATTAGTGCAAGGGAAAACTCCCTTTGCACCGAGAGAAACCTTAGCAGAGCCAGGACTCTTAAGGGGGACCTCTCTGATTCAGGCTTGCTGGAAGTGGTGCAGATGAATTCAAACACATATCAAGATGGGACACATTGGCATAGACAGAGTACATTCACACATTACACCATAGTTAGACGGCACACAGTGTGCTTATAAAGTTACAGCGACAGAGGAACTGGTTTAGTCATACTTGCACTGATGTCAGTAATACTTGCACTAGTAACTTTAGTGTTTTTATCGCACACCCCTAGATGGCAGTGTGCTCATAGGCTCATTATTACAGAGATGGCCAAATGAGAATAACTAGGTCAGTAATGGCATGAGATTGAATTGCAGGTATATAGGTTTTCATGCAGTATGCAAATGTGCCATAGACTGCAATTCAATTGTTATCAGGATATTTATAAAATGTTTTTAAATTAAATTGAAGTTAAAAAACTTGGAAATTAACTTACTCGTATTAGTCTCCTTCCGTCTGATGCTGATTCAGCGGTGAGAACCTCCATGACAGTCATATTGGTGACCACACCTCTCCTGTGTCCCGTTGAACAGATGATGTACCCAGAGAGAAGGCCGTAGAACTCCTCAAGATTCTGAACTGTGGGATTTCTTTCCAGTGTGCCTGTAAAGTAGTGTGAAAGGTTCAAGGTGAGACACTGCTCTTCTAACACTGAAGGATTTTGGAAAAACATTTTCCTTAACACTCACCAAGGGCTGCAGGAATTTCCTTGCCAGCCCTCGTCAGAAATGTGGAAATGTGGCTGGCATCAACAAGCATCTCTGAAACAAAAGAGAATAGGTTCTCAGTCTTTTCCTAGAGCCCCTCACACCTCATGTTCTAGTCCTTGTCAAGGTAACACGTGGAATTGCGATAATGGCATTAAGGGATCTGTGATTAGATAGAACTCAAGAAGGTTGTGAGATCCATCCCAGCGGCTGCCAACGGGGGAACGAGAGATGACCCAACCTCTGTGCTCTTCTTCTTCTTCTGTTTCATTACAATTCTCTTGTATTGATTGCACTATTCATTAACTCCTACTTCTTCCCCTGGGTATTTACCCCATTGATGCTATACATGCTTTTAGCTCTTACTAGTATTTATTGCTGCTCTTGCTATTGTCACTTGTAGATCTCTTACTGTATAAATGCTTTGTTGATGCTTGTATGTTGTTCATCAAACAAAGTAGGTCGCTTTGGATAAAAGCGTCTGCCACATGATAAACCATGTTAAAGTCAATATTTAGCAGTTTGGATTTTACAATCGGGATTGTAATGTAAACTTTGGAAGGTAAAGTGATCCAAATGATTAACACATTCCACATTCGCATCAAAATAACAAGTGTGTCCAAGTTTAATCCAAAGTTTTTAAATATTTGAATGGTTGAACAGTCCAATACTTGACAGGAGGGAATTAATGTATTTTATAATGTGCACATCTTGCCAATGGGCAAGAAAATCGGGCCAGCTTATTTTCATCTGGTGACTTTGTTAGAAATTAGAAACATTTGCATGTTCTCGTTTTGGAATTGTGGCATCAGAAAGGACCATTCATTTGGAATTACGCCCTTTTAAAGGTTCAGTGTGTAATATTTCTTAGGTCTGTTGACAGAAATGCAATACAAGACCCATAACTATGTTTTCAGCGGGGTATAAAGACCTTACGTAATAAACCGTTACGTTTTTATTACCTTAGAAATTAACAACACCAGGTTGCATCAACACAGGCACTTAAATTACCTGAGGCAAGCACCGGCCTTAACACCACAACTCAGTATCATGCCCCTGTAGCTTGGAGGGAAATAATCCATATGGCTCCTACAGAAACATTTCTTGGAATTGTTAGTGTTTTCGATCATAACATTAGTGCTCAAGATACAAAAATAGGACTGCTAGAAACATTTCTTGGAATTGTTAGTGTTTTCGATCATAACATTAGTGATTAGGACACAAAATCAGACTGATTTGGAAGGAGTTACCTTGAATAGGTGTTTCGCTCATCCGCCTGTAATGTGACTGGGGCCTATGTTAACAGTGCACTGCAATCCACGCGCGGTAACCAATCAGGCGATCCCTTTATAAGTAATTATGTGATATTAGAACTTGGAAGGGAGGATCACTCGTTTGGAATTGTATAATAATAATGATAATTGCATATCAAATTAACTAGATGAACACAATGCACAATATTTAAAAACTATCTATTGGAATGGAGGATCACTTGCTTGGAATTGTATAATAATAATGATAATAATAATGATAATAATGATAATTGCATATCAAATTAACTAGATGAACACAATGCACAATATTTAAAAACTATCTATTGGAATGGAGGATCACTTGCTTGGAATTGTAGATCAAATTAACTAGATGAACACAATGCACAATATTTAAAAACTATCTATTGGAATGGAGGATCACTCGTTTGGAATTGTATAATAATAATGATAATTGCATATCAAATTAACTAGATGAACACAATGCACAAAATTTAAAAACTATCTATTGGAATGGAGGATCACTTGCTTGGAATTGTAGATCAAATTAACTAGATGAACACAATGCACAATATTTACACACTACATACTGGAATGGAGGAGCAGTTGCTTGGAATTTGATATCTTTACATAGTAAACAAACATTTGCATGTTCTCGTTTTGGAATTGTGGCATCAGAAAGGACCATTCATTTGGAATTACGCCCTTTTAAAGGTTCAGTGTGTAATATTTCTTAGGTCTGTTGACAGAAATGCAATACAAGACCCATAACTATGTTTTCAGCGGGGTATAAAGACCTTACGTAATAAACCGTTACGTTTTTATTACCTTAGAAATTAACAACACCAGGTTGCATCAACACAGGCACTTAAATTACCTGAGGCAAGCACCGGCCTTAACACCACAACTCAGTATCATGCCCCCTGTAGCTTGGAGGGAAATAACCCATATGGCTCCTACAGAAACATTTCTTGGAATTGTTAGTGTTTTCGATCATAACATTAGTGCTCAAGATACAAAAATAGGACTGCTAGAAACATTTCTTGGAATTGTTAGTGTTTTCGATCATAACATTAGTGATTAGGACACAAAATCAGACTGATTTGGAAGGAGTTACCTTGAATAGGTGTTTCGCTCATCCGCCTGTAATGTGACTGGGGCCTATGTTAACAGTGCACTGCAATCCACGCGCGGTAACCAATCAGGCGATCCCTTTATAAGTAATTATGTGATATTAGAACTTGGAAGGGAGGATCACTCGTTTGGAATTGTATAATAATAATGATAATTGCATATCAAATTAACAAGATGAACACAATGCGCAATATTTAAAAACTATCTATTGGAATGGAGGATCACTTGCTTGGAATTGTAGATCAAATTAACTAGATGAACACAATGCACAATATTTACACACTACATACTGGAATGGAGGAGCAGTTGCTTGGAATATCTTCACATAGTAAACAAACATTTGCATATTCTCGTTTTGGAATTATGGCAGCAGAAAGGACCATTCATTTGGAATTTTAAGCGAGCACAAGCAAAGATCAACTTCTGGACTGCTTTTCAAGTCAAGGAGGATCACTTATTTGGACTCAGTGACAACGCTGTCTAACAACATATACCAATTGTTCAGTATATGCCTACAAGTTTATTATTAATTACTTCTTGCTTCCAATCATATCATTTGTTTCTTTGGTACATGGATGTTTATTTTCACACCCCCCAAATCAAATTCCTTGTTAGTGTAAAAACTACTTGGAAATAAAGCTGTTTCTGTTTCTGATTCTCCTTAAACCCCAAATGATATCCTGCACTGCTAATGAACAAGTTTGAGTGTCTGTAATGTGGCCTGTGCCTAGATCAGCTTTTTGCTGTGGAGTGTTGATAATAAACGTTTAAATTAACACTGTGAGGTGCTTGAAGTGTTTTATACGTATGGATGTTATTTCAGGCCAGTCAAATGCTGATTTAATGCTGATCAACTCACTTTCAGCCGCTCGGTCATCACTTTAAAAAACAAAAACCTTCATTTTAACAAAGAAAACAATGCTCCAGAGATTTTTCTAAATCAACTTAATGGAAAATGGAACAAAACCTAACCACTCTGGCATTAAAAACAAAGGTGGACTTGCATATCTTACAGTTATTTTATATTTTATGCCACCTATTTATTTGGCCGACATTGATATTTCAGATGTCTTTTAAATGAGCTACTTAACATTGGACATGAATGTTCATAGTCTGGAATTCCGCATAGGGAATTGGACACAATCTCATCCCCATCCCCAGTGAAAGAGTACACATTATTTGACATTGAAAAAACTTTTATTAACCTTGTCATGGTTTTTTTTGTAAGTTTGTGTGTGTGTGTGTGTGAAGGCATCTGCATTATCATTAGCAGGTGCTGTGTTAATGTTAATGATGACGGTTCCTTTTCCACCTCACAACCACAATGTTGCTGCTGAAACAAAAGAAGACGGTCAATTTGTATTGTGATGTACAGTATCTGTTTTCACCTCTGAAATGTGTGAAATTGTGTGATATGTAAACTTACAGAACCAGGCACAGCATCAGGAGGTGGATGAGACACCGCCTGGCCGCAGAACTTGCAGGCTATGAACTTGAGGTGCCGACTCCTTTTAGAACAACCTAAAATATTTCCATCACTGATATTAACAGCTGGAGGATGACGGTTCCTTTTCCACCTCACAACCACAATGTTGCTGCCGAAACAAAAAAAGACAGTCAATTTGTATTGTGATGTACAGTATCTGTTTTCACCTCTGAAATGTGTGAAATTGTGTGATATGTAAACTTACAGAACCAGGCACAGCATCAGGAGGTGGATGAGACACCGCCTGGCCGCAGAACTTGCAGGCTATGAACTTGAGGTGCCGACTCCTTTTAGAACAACCTAAAAATATTTCCATCACTGATATTAACAGCTGGAGGATGACGGTTCCTTTTCCACCTCACAACCACAATGTTGCTGCCGAAACAAAAAAAGACAGTCAATTTGTATTGTGATGTACTGTATCTGTTTTCACCTCTGAAATGTGTGAAATTGTGTGATATGTAAATTTACAGAACCAGGCACAGCATCAGGAGGTGGATGAGACACCGCCTGGCCGCAGAACTTGCAGGCTATGAACTTGAGGTGCCGACTCCTTTTAGAACAACCTAACAATATTTCCGTCACTAATATTAACAGCTGGAGGATGACGGTTCCTTTTCCACCTCACAACCACAATGTTGCTGCCGAAACAAAAAAGACAGTCAATTTGTATTGTGATGTACTGTATCTGTTTTCACCTCTGAAATGTGTGAAATTGTGTGATATGTAAACTTACAGAACCAGGCACAGCATCAGGAGGTGGATGAGACACCGCCTGGCCGCAGAACTTGCAGGCTATGAACTTGAGGTGCCGACTCCTTTTAGAACAACCTAACAATATTTCCGTCACTAATATTAACAGCTGGAGGATGACGGTTCCTTTTCCACCTCACAACCACAATGTTGCTGCTGAAACAAAAGAAGACGGTCAATTTGTATTGTGATGTACTGTATCTGTTTTCACCTCTGAAATGTGTGAAATTGTGTGATATGTAAACTTACAGAACCAGGCACAGCATCAGGAGGTGGATGAGACACCACCTGGCCGCAGAACTTGCAGGCTATGAACTTGAGGTGCCGACTCCTTTTAGAACAACCTAAAAATATTTCCATCACTAATATTAACAGCTGGAGGATGACGGTTCCTTTCCACCTCACAACCACAATGTTGCTGCTGAAACAAAAGAAGACGGTCAATTTGTATTGTGATGTCCTGTATCTGTTTTCACCTCTGAAATGTGTGAAATTGTGTGATATGTAAACTTACAGAACCAGGCACAGCATCAGGAGGTGGATGAGACACCGCCTGGCCGCAGAACTTGCAGGCTATGAACTTGAGGTGCCGACTCCTTTTAGAACAACCTAACAATATTTCCGTCACTAATATTAACAGCTGGAGGATGACGGTTCCTTTTCCACCTCACAACCACAATGTTGCTGCTGAAACAAAAGAAGACGGTCAATTTGTATTGTGATGTACTGTATCTGTTTTCACCTCTGAAATGTGTGAAATTGTGTGATATGTAAACTTACAGAACCAGGCACAGCATCAGGAGGTGGATGAGACACCACCTGGCCGCAGAACTTGCAGGCTATGAACTTGAGGTGCCGACTCCTTTTAGAACAACCTAAAATATTTCCATCACTAATATTAACAGCTGGAGGATGACGGTTCCTTTTCCACCTCACAACCACAATGTTGCTGCTGAAACAAAAGAAGACGGTCAATTTGTATTGTGATGTCCTGTATCTGTTTTCACCTCTGAAATGTGTGAAATTGTGTGATATGTAAACTTACACAACCAGGCACAGCATAATGAGTTGGATAAGACACCGCCTGGCTGCAGAACTTGCAGGCTATGAACTTGAGGTGCCGACTCCTTTTAGAACAACCTAAAAATATTTCCATCACTAATATTAACAGCTGGAGGATGACGGTTCCTTTTCCACCTCACAACCACAATGTTGCTGCCGAAACAAAAAAAGACGGTCAATTTGTATTGTGATGTACTGTATCTGTTTTCACCTCTGAAATGTGTGAAATTCTGTGATATGTAAACTTACAGAACCAGGCACAGCATCAGGAGGTGGATGAGACACCGCCTGGCCGCAGAACTTGCAGGCTATGAACTTGAGGTGCCGACTCCTTTTAGAACAACCTAAAAATATTTCCATCACTAATATTAACAGCTGGAGGATGACGGTTCCTTTTCCACCTCACAACCACAATGTTGCTGCTGAAACAAAAGAAGACGGTCAATTTGTATTGTGATGTACTGTATCTGTTTTCACCTCTGAAATGTGTGAAATTGTGTGATATGTAAACTTACAGAACCAGGCACAGCATCAGGAGGTGGATGAGACACCGCCTGGCCGCAGAACTTGCAGGCTATGAACTTGAGGTGCCGACTCCTTTTAGAACAACCTAACAATATTTCCATCACTATATTAACAGCTGGAGGATGACGGTTCCTTTTCCACCTCACAACCACAATGTTGCTGCTGAAACAAAAAAAGACGGTCAATTTGTATTGTGATGTACTGTATCTGTTTTCACCTCTGAAATGTGTGAAATTGTGTGATATGTAAACTTACAGAACCAGGCACAGCATCAGGAGGTGGATGAGACACCGCCTGGCCGCAGAACTTGCAGGCTATGAACTTGAGTGCCGACTCCTTTTAGAACAACCTAAAAATATTTCCATCACTAATATTAACAGCTGGAGGATGACGGTTCCTTTTCCACCTCACAACCACAATGTTGCTGCCGAAACAAAAAAAGACGGTCAATTTGTATTGTGATGTACTGTATCTGTTTTCACCTCTGAAATGTGTGAAATTCTGTGATATGTAAACTTACAGAACCAGGCACAGCATCAGGAGGTGGATGAGACACCGCCTGGCCGCAGAACTTGCAGGCTATGAACTTGAGGTGCCGACTCCTTTTAGAACAACCTAACAATATTTCCATCACTAATATTAACAGCTGGAGGATGACGGTTCCTTTTCCACCTCACAACCACAATGTTGCTGCTGAAACAAAAGAACGGTCAATTTTTATTGTGATGTACTGTATCTGTTTTCACCTCTGAAATGTGTGAAATTCTGTGATATGTAAACTTACACAACCAGGCACAGCATAATGAGGTGGATAAGACACCGCCTGGCTGCAGAACTTGCAGGCTATGAACTTGAGGTGCCGACTCCTTTTAGAACAACCTAACAATATTTCCATCACTAATATTAACAGCTGGAGGATGACGGTTCCTTTTCCACCTCACAACCACAATGTTGCTGCCGAAACAAAAAAAGACAGTCAATTTGTATTGTGATGTACAGTATCTGTTTTCACCTCTGAAATGTGTGAAATTGTGTGATATGTAAACTTACGGAACCAGGCACAGCATCAGGAGGTGGATGAGACACCGCCTGGCCGCAGAACTTGCAGGCTATGAACTTGAGGTGCCGACTCCTTTTAGAACAACCTAAAAATATTTCCATCACTAATATTAACAGCTGGAGGATGACGGTTCCTTTTCCACCTCACAACCACAATGTTGCTGCTGAAACAAAAGAAGACGGTCAATTTGTATTGTGATGTACTGTATCTGTTTTCACCTCTGAAATGTGTGAAATTGTGTGATATGTAAACTTACACAACCAGGCACAGCATAATGAGGTGGATAAAACACCGCCTGGCTGCAGAACTTGCAGGCTATGAACTTGAGGTGCCGACTCCTTTTAGAACAACCTAACAATATTTCCATCACTAATATTAACAGCTGGAGGATGACGGTTCCTTTTCCACCTCACAACCACAATGTTGCTGCTGAAACAAAAAAAGACGGTCAATTTGTATTGTGATGTACAGTATCTGTTTTCACCTCTGAAATGTGTGAAATTGTGTGATATGTAAACTTACGGAACCAGGCACAGCATCAGGAGGTGGATGAGACAACGCTCGGGCAGTTTCTCTGGCTGCATCTTCAGCCTCCAGTGCGTCGTTAACGATTTTTAGAAGTTCATACACCCACCTTTCCCGAACTTTGAGGAAGTAACAGTCAGGTGACGACTCTCTTTGGGACATCTTCCAAGTTGAATAAAACAAGATATGACCATGTGAACCATTTGAACGAGTAAATTAAATGCATTAAAAGCTTGAATTCCTGGGATGTTAGGAGCACATACAATATTTGTACTGACATAAGTATTTTCGATGTTTTCAACAGAGCTACTCAACTTCAGACATTAATGTTCTCATTCTGGTATCCTGCATAGAGAATTGGACACTCTTTGTAACATATCAGATTCTGTGTTTGGAAGATTTAGACAATTGGATTTCATTCTTGGAGTTAAATTAGGAAATAAGATTTCATCTTTAGATTGTTGCATACATGTCCAATATGCAGAAGGCTACCTCAAATTAGACATTGATATTCCCTTTTTGGAATTTTGCACTGGATACACTTTTAGGAACAATAGAGCATACCTTTGGAATACTACAAAATACGATTTTACTATGGGAAATGTATCTTGAATTCTCGAATGTGAGTTACCTTTCATTCGAGATGTACTCTAATAGACGCATCAGGAAGCAGAATGAGCCAGAGCTCGAAGTTAAGACTGCTCATGGAGTTCCTCAAGGATCTGTCCTTGGACCAATCCTCTTCACTTTATATATGCTTCGTTTAGGCAATATTATCAGGAAATATTCCATAAGCTTTCATTGTTATGCAGATGATACTTAGTTAGATCTATCGATCAAACCAGATGAAACTCATCAGTTAGCTAAACTTCAAATGTGCCTTCAGGATGTTAAAACCTGGATGACCTGTAATTTTCTAATGTTAAACTCAGATAAAACTGAAGTTATTGTTCTGGGGCCCAAGCACCTCCGTGACGCATTGTCTAAAGATATAGTTTCACATTGATGGCATCACCCTGGCCTCCAGCACCACTGTGAGGAATCTTGGAGTTATCTTTGATCAGGACATGTCGTTTAAGTCTCACATTAAGCAAATTTCAAGGACCGCCTTTTTTCACCTAGGTAATATTGCGAAAATCAGGAACATCCTGTCTAAAAATGATGCAGAAAAACTAGTCCATGCATTTGTTACTTCTAGGCTGGATTACTGCAATTCCTTATTATCATGCTGCTCGAAAAAGTCCATTAAGACTCTTCAGCTGATCCAGAATGCTGCAGCACGTGTTCTGACAGGAACCAGGAAAAGAGATCACATTTCTCCTGTCTTAGCTTCTTTGCATTGGCTTCCAGTAAAATCCAGAATAGAATTTAAAATCATTCTTCTTACCTACAAAGCTCTTAATGGTCAGGCACCATCTTATCTTAAAGAGCTCATAGTACCTTACTACCCCACCAGAGCACTGCGCTCCCAGAATGCAGGGTTACTTGTGGTTCCTCGAGTCTCCAAAAGTAGACTAGGAGCCAGAGCGTTCAGCTATCAAGCTCCTCTCCTGTGGAACCAGGTTCCAGTTTGGGTTCAGGAGGCAGACACCATCTCCACATTTAAGAGTAGGCTTAAGACTTTCCTCTTTGATAAAGCTTATAGTTAGGGCTGGCTCAGGTGAGTCCTGAACCATCCCTTAGTTATGCTGCTATAGGCCTAGACTGCCGGGGATTTCCCATGATGCACTGAGCTCCTCTCTCTCTACTTTCTCTCCCTCTGTATGCAACCTCATCCCATTATTGCATGTTACTAACTCAACTTCTCCCTTTCTGGTAGTCTGT